AAGTTTGATGCACATTCAACCATATTGCTGGTATTCTGAGGATTAATTTGAGCCCTTAACCATATCTGTACGTCAGCAAATGACAATGGAACAAGACTAAATGCCCAAAAAATATCTTAAAATTTGCTTCACCGGTAAGCTGTACCGGTGTGAAAGGGAAAGGGTTAATTGGCTTAACCCTTTCCCTTTCAGGCATTTTAGACCTTTACTTATAGAAAAGACACTATCAAAGTTCAATTGAATACTGCATTCGAACCAATGGTCATGCACATGCCATGTTGGGCTCATATGAAAGATAATTGGTCAAATATTTCAGAAAATTACGTTTTAAGATAATTCGTCCTTTTTGGGTCACGTGGGATGTTTCGAAAAGTCACGTGACTTTTGGAGAAAATGTGGAAAAATACGAAATCCTTGGGACAAAAGTCGTGTAGAGACATATTGTTGCGCTAATAGGGTAAGGTTTTGGTGGAAACACAATGCCCCAAGTCTGTTAAAGACATACAAGTTATCATATTGGTATTAAAAGGGGAAATACGTGCTATATGCCTTGAAATCTCGATGTCCGTAACATTCAAAATAACTGATTCCAGACGCTCTTTTCGTCCAATTACAAACTCGGACACTCGTTTTTTGTCTAAATCGTTTTCAGTCAAGCAGTAACCTAAATTTTGTTTTTCTAAGGGAAAATTTTTATTGAATTACTAATGATAACTTGATGTGGCGCACCCTGGACCAAACCCGATGAAGTAAATGGGGGAAAAAGGGGGGGGGGGCAATTTGGCACACAAATTCTTTAAAAAACAAACATAAGTATTTCGTTGGTTTTTCTTTTTGAAATTGAAAGTAAAGTTAAGTTAAGTTACATTTAATATAGGAAATAATTTTTCCACCTCCGGCAGTGAGAATCGAACACGCGATCTTTCCGCCTTTGGTTTGTTCAGCATACCCCTGCACCACTGGCACTGTTAGGAATATATTGAAATTTAAGTACTTAAGTCTACTACTCAAGACGTGAAAAAAAAAAACATATGAAGATCCTCACCCAGCTTGTTTTCTTTTCGAAATTATGTGTTCAGATGATATATTTTTTATGCCAAATGGCCAAATGCATGATTTTTGCGCAAATATAGCAGGAATCCAGTTCTTAGTCTCTCTTGTTTCCATTGACATATACATTTTCCTTCATTTAAACAAAAGTGTTTTCAACTTTATCATACCCAAACACCTACGAAACCATGTTTTGTTACATCTATTTCAACTTTGCTAAAAAAAATTCAGGACATTTCAGTGGTTTTTGTCTCTTTTACGATAAAATCTTTAAGAAATGACTACGGATTTTTAGCGCATTTCAAGTTTGTGATTGCGCTGGTACACTAAAAATTACATTTTTAACTAGTGTACAAGTTAGAACTATTACTTTAATACCATTCTTCAAAAACTCACTGCACAGTTATTGAAAAAAGTCATAATTCCCCCAAAAAGGACAGTTTTCTATGCACTTCTTTTTGAAAATATTCTTTAAAATCCGAAGAAACAAAAATGTTTTTTACAGAAGAAACACATGTCAGTAAGAGGCGAATTAACTATAAACTGATAATGATAGAAGTTTGATGCACATTCAACCATATTGCTGGTATTCTGAGGATTAATTTGAGCCCTTAACCATATCTGTACGTCAGCAAATGACAATGGAACAAGACTAAATGCCCAAAAAATATCTTAAAATTTGCTTCACCGGTAAGCTGTACCGGTGTGAAAGGGAAAGGGTTAATTGGCTTAACCCTTTCCCTTTCAGGCATTTTAGACCTTTACTTATAGAAAAGACACTATCAAAGTTCAATTGAATACTGCATTCGAACCAATGGTCATGCACATGCCATGTTGGGCTCATATGAAAGATAATTGGTCAAATATTTCAGAAAATTACGTTTTAAGATAATTCGTCCTTTTTGGGTCACGTGGGATGTTTCGAAAAGTCACGTGACTTTTGGAGAAAATGTGGAAAAATACGAAATCCTTGGGACAAAAGTCGTGTAGAGACATATTGTTGCGCTAATAGGGTAAGGTTTTGGTGGAAACACAATGCCCCAAGTCTGTTAAAGACATACAAGTTATCATATTGGTATTAAAAGGGGAAATACGTGCTATATGCCTTGAAATCTCGATGTCCGTAACATTCAAAATAACTGATTCCAGACGCTCTTTTCGTCCAATTACAAACTCGGACACTCGTTTTTTGTCTAAATCGTTTTCAGTCAAGCAGTAACCTAAATTTTGTTTTTCTAAGGGAAAATTTTTATTGAATTACTAATGATAACTTGATGTGGCGCACCCTGGACCAAACCCGATGAAGTAAATGGGGGAAAAAGGGGGGGGGGGCAATTTGGCACACAAATTCTTTAAAAAACAAACATAAGTATTTCGTTGGTTTTTCTTTTTGAAATTGAAAGTAAAGTTAAGTTAAGTTACATTTAATATAGGAAATAATTTTTCCACCTCCGGCAGTGAGAATCGAACACGCGATCTTTCCGCCTTTGGTTTGTTCAGCATACCCCTGCACCACTGGCACTGTTAGGAATATATTGAAATTTAAGTACTTAAGTCTACTACTCAAGACGTGAAAAAAAAAAACATATGAAGATCCTCACCCAGCTTGTTTTCTTTTCGAAATTATGTGTTCAGATGATATATTTTTTATGCCAAATGGCCAAATGCATGATTTTTGCGCAAATATAGCAGGAATCCAGTTCTTAGTCTCTCTTGTTTCCATTGACATATACATTTTCCTTCATTTAAACAAAAGTGTTTTCAACTTTATCATACCCAAACACCTACGAAACCATGTTTTGTTACATCTATTTCAACTTTGCTAAAAAAAATTCAGGACATTTCAGTGGTTTTTGTCTCTTTTACGATAAAATCTTTAAGAAATGACTACGGATTTTTAGCGCATTTCAAGTTTGTGATTGCGCTGGTACACTAAAAATTACATTTTTAACTAGTGTACAAGTTAGAACTATTACTTTAATACCATTCTTCAAAAACTCACTGCACAGTTATTGAAAAAAGTCATAATTCCCCCAAAAAGGACAGTTTTCTATGCACTTCTTTTTGAAAATATTCTTTAAAATCCGAAGAAACAAAAATGTTTTTTACAGAAGAAACACATGTCAGTAAGAGGCGAATTAACTATAAACTGATAATGATAGAAGTTTGATGCACATTCAACCATATTGCTGGTATTCTGAGGATTAATTTGAGCCCTTAACCATATCTGTACGTCAGCAAATGACAATGGAACAAGACTAAATGCCCAAAAAATATCTTAAAATTTGCTTCACCGGTAAGCTGTACCGGTGTGAAAGGGAAAGGGTTAATTATTATATTCCAAAATAAAGGAAAATATTTTGTGTGTTATATCAAGCATGAAAAAGATGGTATAATTGCAAATGAGACAACTCCTAACCAAAGACCAAATGGCATAGAAGTCCACATATAGGTCAGCGTACGGCCGTCAACTATAAGCAAAACCCATGCCCAATAGTCTGCTATAAAAGGCCCCGAGATGAAAAATTTTAAAGAATGCAAACGAGATAACTAATGATTCATGTAAAATAATAATGAACGAAATACAAATTTGATAAACAGCAACAAACGACAACCACTGCATTACAGGCTCCTGACTTGGGACATGCACATACAAAATGTGACTGTGTTAAACATGATAGCCTGTGCCGAACCCTTTCCCTTACCTGGGAAAGTGGTGTAACAGTACAGCATGTGAACAAACTATAACAATCAGTTGAAAAGGGCTTAACTCATCAGATCGATACAAAGCAGCAATAAAAACACAGACCGGACGTACCAGGGTATTTATACAAAACTATAATAAAAAAGACACTAAGTACTAAGATCTGAGAGTACTCGGAGTTACTGACATCTAAACTACTAAAAAACTATGTATCTAAGACTAACGTATCAATCAGTACACATCCAACATCAAATGGATTTACATTAAAGATAAACTATTTGTATTGTTTGGATTAAGTATTACATAAAAACATTTTCTTAAAGATTTTATCAAGAAAACAAAAGTTTAAAGAAGGACTGATCTATAATAAGCAAATACATGAAGCCCCACCCAGTCACTCGAAAGTATATGGTTCTATTTTCTCCTAATGATTCTTTAAAATATTTTTGATAAATTTATAAGGAAAAAGAACGTGTGCTTTGTAACAAGTAACTGTTTATTAACATTAAAAATAGAAAGATATTCCCATGTGAAGATCAGGTTGAATATTTAAATGTCTCTTATTTCACATTATGTACAGGTTTTTTTTATTGTGTGGATTTTATCTAGATATACATTTAAACCAATTTACCTGTCATGTTTAATCAAGTGTTTTCATCATACGCTTTAAGAAATCTATTTTAGATTTGTTTTGCTTGAAAGATATCAATTGAGGTTAGCGTAATTTAAAGTATTTACAGAGTTGGTTTTCCACACCACTTTCCTTTTCAACAATGAAAGAGCGTCTTGAGATGGGTGTCTTTCATTTCTGTATTCTTTAATCGATAAGGTCATTTTGTTTTAACTCTTTGTTTTGTTTGCCAATTTCTTATATCAAGCACCCCATTTTTATCTTTCATGTGTGTTTTTTGTCTTTTCGCTCCCTTTTCCTTTGTTTTGAGGGGTCAATTTTTGGTGCAGGTTTGACCCATTATGCTCTATTCTGTAAACCTCATCCTAACCTCTATGAAATGTAGATTTGAATTGAAAAATTACAGGAAATTGCGTCATGAAGCTGAACTGCTATTTTTACCAGAACAGTCCAGAAATCATAACGAAGTTGGCCCATTAATATATATCTTTTTAATCAAATTGTGAAGTTATATAACATGCATACAGCTTTATTTATATACGTCACATGCATTGTAAAAACGAAAGTGCAACAATAATTTCATACATATTATTGACAAAAAATCTTAATACTTACTCTACGATTTTGCTAATAAAACTCCCCTAACTCCTTGAGTCCTCTCCAATTCAATTTATGTTTTATTTTGTAGAATTTCACCCATCGACTTTTTGAATGTGTACTTCCATGTAGGTCAAATGACTACACAGGTTATTTCCCTTTATCATGTTTATTATGATTGTATCTTTCAGGACCAGCTACTATATAACTGAAGCTATTACTATAACGTACGTTTTATTTGGTAAGTAAAAGTAGAATTTTCATTAAATACTGGAAAAAGAAAAGCTATGTGTACTGTACATTTTTAAAATTAACTGACTCTCCTCAAGGTGACCGAATATAAATAATATTATAATACCTTGGAAATCAAATATCATAGATACCTTGGAATACAGTTTTCTTATATTTGGCGATATTAAAATTAATGCAATTTAATATTGTTGTTCGGTATTTAAGAAAACAAAAGAGGACATATTTCTCTTAATTCAAGAATCATTGCCGTCTCTGAAATTAATCGATTGACGGAGGTGGCATGATATTTGTACATACATGTATACGTATGCAAATAATTTTTGGAATAAAATTAACTGTACCAATTTGTATGCATCAAATGCGCATTTCGACAATAAATGTCTCATCAGTGATGTTCGAGGCAAAACATTTAAAAATCCAAAGCTTATTAAACAAATGAAGAGCTTATAAACCAAGAATGACAAAACTGTATAGCCAAAGTCGGGTAAGGCATCATGAAACATTTTCATGCATAGTAAATTGTTTCTTAATTCTATATCGTGGATTTCAATGATAAAAGTGGGGTCCTTTCACTTTAATGACTTATTGTGTAGAATGACGAAGATGATAGCTTGCGTCCAATCTGTGTTTTCGTCAGATGTATTTATATTTGTATCCATCTGATGAGGTAGGCCTTTTCAACTGATGTTTATAGTTTGATCGTATGTTGTACTGTTACACCACTGTCCCAGGTTAGGGAAGGGTTAAGCGGTCACAAACATGTTTAACCCCGCCGAAGCCTGTAGTTCAGTGGTTGTCGTTGGTTTATGTCTGTCATTTTTGTTTTTCGTAAATTTTTCTGTTATATATTAGACCGTTAGTTTTTTTAACTGAATTGTTTCATATTTTTCATATCGGGCCCTTTTATACCCGACCATACGATATTGGTGTTTCTCATTTATGGTCGTACGGTTGCCTATAATTGCTTACATCCACTTCATTTGAACTTTGGTGGATATTTGTCTCATGGTCAATCATACCACATCTCTTTATTATTATACGTAATATTTGTTGTTATGTGTTGTATGTTTTGTTTGTTTTATTAACATGCATTTTCGGATGAGGGGTGGGATTTTGGTGAGTCATGTGGTCTGTTGTGATGTCAAATATTTTTGTTTTATTCCTTTCTTCCTTTTTATGATTACTCATTTTATATTTTTCTGGTGTTTTATTGGTTGGATTGTGTATTGTGTGTGTCTTTGTTGATTAAAGATCTTCCTAATATCATCAAAATTTCGATTGTTGCCAATCAAAACCTGCTGTTGCGAAAAGGTGAAAAGGTACGCACTTGTATAGCTACATGTAGGCTTGTTTTATAGACAACTTGACAAATGTATTTATATTTGCAGATATGTATATATACTAGTAGTATTTCATGTATATGCTATGTCTGAATGTTCAGTATCATTTTCTTGTTAAGTTGTGGTTTACTCTACATCTATATGTTCTTTATTTTACAAGGATTTTTTTAAAGATTCGAATGAGCTAAAATACAGCCATGAAAATTAATAGCAACTGGGTGTTTGATACAACAGGAAGTGCACGGGTGTTTTGAACTATCAAAAAAAGAACTACATGTTTTTTTTAAGTAGATTAAAAAGACCTATCAGGAAATTATTTTGGCATTTAATCTTTATTTGTCGATTGACTGGAAATCTTACCAGTATATATTATCTTTAAATGGGAGCTAAAATCATATGTTTATATTTCCTACAAAAGCAAAGCTAGGTAACACATTTTTGTACTTATCTGAATTTGTTACATCTCTGATAATTATTGCTTTAATAAATTATTTGATTTTACTATTCTCAGAGTTGTTAAAAAGGTCATCAGCTATGTTTGTTCAGCAAATCTTTTCAAAAGCTTGGATATGCTTAAACGATCAAGCAGTCTGACGTAACGTAAATATCAGACATACAAATGACGCGACTAAATAATCAGTTTAAAGGGATAATTAACTTAATTTCATTAAAAAAAACACAGTATATTTCCTTTTAATCTTTTCTATTAATAAACAACATAAAGTGCTCTTTATGATAGTTGATGTTACATAAAGGTATGATACCGTTTACTGTGTACAAAACAACGTTACTGTAAGTTATATAACGATACATTTAAGTTTTCCGGATGTTTAATAAAACTTAGACCTGGTTTTTGGTACTATTTCTCCTGTATTTACAGGATCGTGCATATCTAGGTAATCTGTCAAAATATCAAAACGTTGAACGTGTGCATGCTGTCCGTCACACTCCCCGGCATACAGCATCTGATTTGTATCTGTGTTCAGTGATTTATCAGTGTAGTCAATGCTATCGTTGTCTTCATTTAGTGATTTATCTGATATTTCACGACAAGCATCCCCTATTGTTTGTCCAAAGATTAAATGTTTATTACGCTGTCCTTTTCCATTATCTGACCCATCTGTTCCCTTCTTATTTAGCAACTCGATAGATTCATTGTCCTTACTGACTTGATTTCTACAGTCCTGTATTTCATTTTTCTCTCTTAAATCAATTTCCATTTCATTCGACGTTTTTGTTGTCTTTTCATATTTGTGCTTGTTAGAACTTTGATCTTTTTGCAATTGTTGATAAACGTGAGAATATTTATAACTAGAACTTCTTTCTTTCGACAACTCAGATCCAGATGAACTCTCGGAATCCTGATGAACATGAACCGTTACTTCATAGCCATCTGATATTGGTTGCCGTTCACGAAGAGGTTGGTAGGGATTGATATATCCTGTATGATCTGGAATGACAAGGTCAAAGTTCGAGGAATTACTTGAACTGGATTCCTTTGATATACTTTGATTTTCGGTTTCATCCACTGCAAAATATGGATCAAGGTAACTTGAGGTATCATCATGACTACTTGTTGTTTTATCAGTACGAGCATTTGATACAGTTGCATTGGTATTCCTTAATTGTGGTGGTACTGCGGTGTCACTGTTGTCCTCTCCAATTAAGTGCTCGTCAATTTCATCGTATATTTCAATGTATGGTGGTTCAACTCTTTCTTGTCTCATTCCTATACCTTCTCCTCCATTTTCCCTTGGTATGTTAATTGAAGATCGTTTTCGGTAAGAACGAACAAAATGGCTTAATCCAATAATCATCAGAAATCCAATAACACAGAGAGTGTAAATAACCAATTCCATGGATGTAGGCCCTATAAGTTCAACAAAACAAAAGCGTTATAATAAGAACCCAGAACTCAAGAAGAGTATAGCATTAAAAGTTCAGTGGTGCAAGATAATTGACATTGCAACAAAATAAAGCCATATACAGGGGAAGAACCAAAACTGCGCTGACGTCAAAAATTTCTGTACAAGTTTTGTTTATATCTGTAGGACTATGAATGTTTATTCATCATCGATTAATATTTCATTTTTCAAATCAATTCCAGTAGATCTTCGGTTAATACTTGATATTTTGTACATTGTGTATTTTTGTTTTGTTTTCGAGCACTTCTACTCAAGAGTGATTTTAGAAATGTTGGTTTATCAAATAAACTTTAGTATCATGTTTTTTCTTGTCATTTTTTTATAGCAGCCTTCCAAAATAAACACACAGTCTTATGTGTTATTCATAAACGTCCCCAGAAGGATGCATTTCAAATATGTAATGATAAGAATGCTGCAAGTTGATTTCAAGGATAACTTTTCTTAAATGTGATATAGTACTAAAGCTGAGGTTTAAAAAATCATAAGAAAAAGTGACATTGGTCGTCTACTTTATATGCAGAATAATGTTAACCTTTTTTTGTTTCCTTCGCATGTGTAGTTGGTTTGAAGTCTTAAGTGACGTCCATCCAACTTGTTCTATTTTTCCTATATAATGCATATGATTTCTAATGTATCACAAGTTGTTTACCTCAAAATATGTTTTTTTTTTCGCCTTATTGTCACGGGTAGTAACCTTGTCATATCGAAAAGCGTTTAGTACAGTGATTTTGTAATAGTTTGGTTAAGATGAACATGGTTGTGTTAAGTGTTGTTGATGACAAACAGTGTCAAAATATAAACATTCGAATAGTTTGTTAAAGGAACTAATGACAACAAATTCAAGCTGGTAAGTATCTTTGTTTATAGCTAATATGTTAGTACATCAAAATTTGTATCATATAATTATTAATTTGACACAGAATAATGCTTGCGTATGTCAAAATTTAAAAGTTGTGATTCGGTTATAATGCATAAAGAAAAGTGGTTTGCTTACTGTCTGCTACATCACATATTTTGTTATGATATAAAACTGCCGTCAATTTTCCCGAAAAAAACAGCCCCTAGTGCACACAATTTGAGATTACAGAATATTCGATGTCATGGTTTGGTTCATTCGTGTCATGGTTTATTTCATGTTGAACATGGTTCAGTTATGTGATTCTATTCGTGAATGAAGGAAGAGAAATGATTTAAAATAAACAGACATTATATTTATTGAAATACTCTTTTTTAAATAGTTTTATTTGGAATACAAAAGGACATATATACGCATATTCAATGTAGTATTATATATATTAAGTACATGCGGTCTGATTGTCAATGAGATAACTATCCACCCAAGACCAAAATGACGTAGATGTAAGGAACTATATTTCGTCGTACGGCCTTCAACAATGAACAAAATCTATAACTTTTAGCAAGCTATAAAAGGCTCCAACAACATTTATGTAAAAAAAAAATTTAAATAAGAAAACCAATGTATTGTACACTATTACAAAAACATAATCATTTTTATTCGTTCGTAAAAATAATTGATAAAAGCGGACATTAAATCGGCTTCATTCTAATTCGGAATTGTTATTTTTCATATATTTAAATGCTGAACTTGTGTGTATTT